GCTCCTTCCCGCAGGAGACGGTCCACATCGGCAGCTCTACCATTAGCCGCAGCTGCTGTCAGCTTATCCTCGAGAGTCATCGCTGTCCCCGGCCGGGTCATCAGCAGCAGCGGTGGTGGTCACCACCTGCGGAATGACAGCTCCTTTTTCTGACAGGTATCTTGTTTCGATGCTGATTCAAATAAAGAACAACAAAAAAAAAAAACAACGCAGACTCCAGGGAGGACACGTTAACGCGGACGTGCGAATAAGACTCTGCTAAACGTCAGTAGTGAATGTCGGTTGCTGTCCCCGCCTGGGGTGCGAGTTTGTCCACCGTGTGTCCAGCGGTCGTTCTCTCTGTCTCTCCGTCGGTGTATAGTCCGGGCTTGTCTGTTATGAATGGGTGACGTCACGGTTTCTGCCCCGGTGATTGCTGCGCGATTTGCGCATGCGCCAAAGCTGCTGCTGCTGCTGCAAGTGCTAAACTACTGTTCGGTAAGAAACTGTGAATCAACTATGAATTATTTTTACGATGTGCTTTTATAAAGAGCGAGTAACTTTAACAGATTAGAATGTAACACATTAGTTTAACCGAGAAGATTAACATTTATTTATTGAATAAAACGAAATAAACGAAGTCATTTTATGAATATATAGACTCATTTCTACAAATGTTTATACAGTAAATCTATACGAAATGAGACTGACCCTTTTTTAGATTTGTAATGTCAGTGTCAGATGATCCTATTATCTAACTTGTTTTTGCAACGTTTGTTTTTCTCTGCCTATTTTGTTTGTTATTTATCTCATTTGTAAGCATACTAATGTTTTCACAATTGAAATGACTCAGAGCATTAGTACAATGACTATTCCACTCCTGCTAATAAAAAAAGGGGCAAACAATCCTGAAAGTAGTGCCTGTGTGCTTATTGACGTAAAAAAAGATAGTATCTCACATCCCTACATATACAGATGTATTTAAAAAATATACATGAAACTCTGCTGTAGTTTTTCCAACCAGATAGACCCGTTGCCTATCTTACTCATCTGTCCCAGATGCAATAAATAGAATAAATAACTCCTTCATCACTGTTGTAACTGATGGAAGGAGGGCAGCTTTACAAAGTCTGCATTCATGGCCTATGTTTGGAATGTGGCCAATAATTGATCAATGAATTGCCTGTTGTGTGAGGTGAAGACAGACAGACTGAGAGTTTGTCATAAACAGTATAATAATGGTTAGGGATGTGTCTGTACTAACAATAAATTGCATCATGTTTGCCAGTCTGATTAAATGGGTCATTGTGTTGGATTAGGTTGGATTATTAGACTCTGGATTTATGGCAACATCTTCTGTTTTTAAAAGATATTTTTGTTTAACAGAGGAAATGTGAGCATCCCATTGTATCTCTACCTGCACTGGCATGTTCCAGTACAACATGTCGGTTGTACTGAAACATGCCGACGTTAATGTGATGCCAGAAGTGTTTGTGCTGAGTGTGCTGCTGTCCTAGCATACAGATAATCACTGTCGTATCAACTAAAGAATAGGAATTATTGGGAAAAGACCATGCTAGGTCATCGAGTTTAAGCGCTAAATACGACAGAGGGAGTTGTTTTGTATTACTTGTTAGGAGGTGACGTGAACAAATTCAAACTCACAAAAGAGAAAAGAGGAAGGGAAGCTCTGTGCGGTGTTTTTTAAAGAGGAGAACGTTTTTTCTACACTGGAGTCGGAAGTAAATCTTATTCTTGATAAAATGCATAAAACTGCATTTTTCTCTTCCGTCTTTTCGGTATCTTTGTGTGCTAGCGCTCTGAGCGCTAGTACAAAATTTGTGTAATCCAGGACAAAGCAGACAACAAATTTCTTAATAAAAAAATCAACAAATAAAAAAATCTGGTGTTAAATCTAACAAGCACTCCAACTGGTTTTAATACTATAAGTAAAAAATCAATTAATACAACACCGACATTTTACATAAACTTAATTTGTACGAAGGTTTTCCACAACAAGTTTTTGTGCTCCTCTTTGACTTCCACTTTCATTTTTGCAATAATGCAGACAGAGGTGTAATATTTCCTGTGTCTATTGATGTGATGGAAAATATTATAAAACATTTCTAACAATTTAAACTTTAACGTAATTTTCGAAACAAAATGTGTTTGTGTGATGGTGGTCTTAATTCTAAATGAATCTGCCTGCTGAAGGTGAAAAGACGAGTAAGGAATGGGTGTTTGCCTTGGAGTTTGCAGCCTGTAGCTATGACTGAGTGTGGGTGGAGGTGTGTTGGTTTGGAAGTCCCCTGTGTGCACATGCATGTGTTTGTGCGGGCTGGTGTGTGTGTGTGTGTGTGTGTGTGTGTGTGTGTGATTACAGCGTATGCTTTTTATGCTCTTTTTAAAGTAAGGAAGAGTAAACGTGTCACAGCCTTTCACTGAGAAACGCAGACTTTGTAGTAGACAACTTAGGTTTGCTTTGAACAACAACCAAGGCCACCATGGAACCAGCAGGGCGGTTGGTCTTTGTAGGTCTTTACTTCATGACATCAGTGGATGTGGAACATTCTTTTGGTCAGAAGAATGCTCAGGGAACAAAGTCCTTCTCTTTATAGCTAAACTCAGCAGCTTGTCTCAGTGGAGGGCGGTCAATAGAAATGTGGGCATCATACCTAACGCCTACAATTATGATTACACTTTGACGCATTAACAACAAACGATCCTTCAGCCAGATCTGTTTTCTGGATCAACTTTGTGTTCATTAGGATTAAGGGATTAAAAAAAAGGGGAAAAAAGTATTATAAGCATCATAGGTGAGGTGTGAGATGTGCTTCAACTGACATGAAATTATACAAGAACAACTGTTGTAAACATCTATGAAAGGAAAGACTTGCCCTTTGCATCCAACCAAATGAAATCACCTCCTTCTGACTGTTCTTTTAAAAATCCCCTTGAACTACTTGTTTTGAATGGGTTTATTGTTAGCTCTAGCGAACAGGACATGTTGCTGTTTAAATATTAAACAGTTTACAGCAAGAGAATTATTTTGTTTCATTAGGTACTTTCAGATTTTTACAAATATAGTAAAATATTGAGTAGATATAGATAGTTTAAAAAAAAAAAAAAAAAAGGAAATCATTCATTCATTCTTCTTCTACTACAAGTCTCTTCAACAAAAACACCACCCACTGGGAGAACATGCAAACTACATACAAATCATTATCAGCAGCCCCTGGGCTTCAAACTGTATTTTGCTGTCAACACATTCACAGTCATTTTACCCCAAAAAAAAACAAAAAAAAACAAAACAAATTAGTTTACAAAAATATGTTGTGTTCGAGTAGGGGCCGTCCCACACTTTGGGAACCATTGCTAAGGCAGAAGCACTTTGTGTAAAATGAAGTGAATTTAAAAACACTACCCAGCATGGCATTCAAATTTATATATTAAACAAACACACACATATATATATCCCTTTCCAAAACCCCCATCCATTGTATTCCATCAGCCAGTGTGTCCAGGACACAGGATAGACTGCTCAGTAATTCTACACAATATGTGACATTTCACTGAGCTGCGATGAGAAGAGGCCGTGCTCCACTTTGACATGTACCTGTCACATTGTTCTATTATAAATAGTTGTGTTTTTTTTTTTTTCCATAGACAACCACAATCAATGTGAGCAGCTTTGCACGGCTGCCTCAGAAGTAAAGAGCAGAAAGTCCAAGGTTCGATTCCCAGAGGAACCATATTCTCCTGTAAGTCGCTTCGGATGAAATCGTCTGCTAAAAGCATAAATGGAAATGTTGGACTAACTTAATCTGAAATGGCCTTTGTACTGAGTCGGTCCATCTACTGATGGCAACCCTTAGCTACATCAAAGACTCATCACAAACAGTGACTTCAGTTAAACAAACATAGTTCAGCTGAGCACGGCAAAAGGCTGATGGTTGCATTTTTTTTCCCACTTTGAAGTCTCTCAGAACACACACTCACATGAACCACAGGATAACATTCAGACAGACTTTATTCAAGGGTTACACTTTATTGCCCGCCATCATTTATCTGATTATTCAGTTCTAATATTGCAAATACCTTCATCTTGGCTCAACCTCACCAGCCGCTCAGGTGTGGGTGACTGAGCCACACCGTGGTGATGGACAGTGATTTAAAGCACATGCCTACATTTTAGATTTACATTCTCCACATCTGTGCTGCATTTGTTTGTTGTTGACTAATATTGCAGTGGAATTAAAATATTTATTGTGCTGCATTTGTTTGTTGTTGACTAACATTGCAGTGGAATTAAAATATTTATCCATCTTAAAAAAGGGTTTATACCTAGTTGAATAGATGCTGTTGTTTTACTTTTTAAGACTCAAGGATTTTTAGTGTCAGACCACACATGTAAAATTATAATTGAAAAGTATCTGAGGATATTGATAAACCACATCAATAAAACATTAAATGTGAATAAGGAGAGTTCTTTTTTTAAATAAACACAGGTCAGAGAAAATGTGCTAAACTAGGAAGTGATGAGTAGGTTAAGTCCAGACTAATTATGAAAATACTCTCCAAAATATCAAACACTGAAACCCACACTTCATGTATTATATGCAAAGACATGCACAGACTCAATAAGGACATGCTGTTTGGCACATGGAACCACAGACTGCTTTACAATAGCAGTGTGAGATTATAAAAAAACATTACAAGCACATTTCTGTATTTGTACATTTATTTCAATATTTAAATGACTGTATTCAAATGAACCACAGTTCATGACAATGCTGGCTTCACATCAGAAAATTGCTAGGGTTATAAAAATAAAGCAAAACTCAAGTTCAACAACAGCCAAAACAGAAAACAGTAACATGGATCGTAATCAACCAAAGATACATCGATGAGATTGAAAACAAGCGGAGGTTGTTTGGTTGAAGGTTCCATCATGTCATCATCATGTTTTGAAAATTGTCGATGTTTCAATTATAAAAACTGCTACTGACCTCTAAATTTTAAAAGTAAAAATGTTCCTTAGAGTCTACAGCACAGCGGGGAAGAGGTTAGAGGCGGCGTGGCAGCCGGGAAGAAGTTAGAGGCGGCGCGGCAGCCGGGAATTGGATAGAAGCGGCGCGGCAGCCAAGAAAGGAGTAAAGGCGGCACGGCAGCCGAGAAAGGGGTAGAGGCGACGCGGCAGCCGGGAAGAGGATAGAAGCGGCGCGGCAGCCGAGAAAGGAGTAAAAGCGGTGCAGAAGCCGTAAAGGGGATAGAGGCGGCATGGCAGCCGCGCAGCGAATTGCAGCGGCACGGCAGCCGCGCAGCGGATTGCAGCGGCACGGCAGCCACAAAGAATAAAATCTGACGCTCCCTACCGTGTTGAAGAGCTTTATGTTGACTGGAAAATCTAGAAAATAAACACAAGACAGAGAAGAGTCACGTTAATTACGTTAATTTTCTAAAAAACTAATTAAATAGAAAACCCGAGTTTAACTCTCACCTTGTCTTTCAATGTCAGGAGTAAATGTTGACGCTGGATTACTTCAACCCGAGGTCCATTTGCAGAAATTCCATCTGTTCAAAAATTGATGATTACAGGTTTAATACAATGTAAAGCAGCTTATTTTAAAAATTTTACTGCAAAAGACACTGAGGCTGTTCTTATAACACTAAAATGGTAAAATATAATCTAATGAATAAAAAAATACATGGTGGCGCTTTGGCCCAGAGGCAATGTCTCTGTCATTGGTGTGGAACCCCAGGATTCACCTCCTGGGCAAGTTCAAGTTCCGGTTAGGGCGGTTGGTACCTTCCAGTGGACTCACCACCCGCAGGAAGGTTTGGTACGGTGCAATGTGATTTGGGTGGCGACTGCTGCCCCCGCGACCCGGTAACGGATAAGCGGATGAAAATGGATGGATGGATGGAAAAAAAATACATTCTGACGCCGGTCTGCCATTTTTAAAGTTTCTTTGACTTTAAGTAGAAGCTAAGCTATTTGGCTATAATTAACACGTGTTCAAAACGCCAAAAGTAGGGAATAGAAATCCAAAAGTTACTTACATTTTATATGTGTACCGTTCATCCCGCACCGGTCGAGCAGTAAATTAGGAACAACTTCGTATCCCTGTGGCTTTTAAAGGCCAGCGGCGAACTTTTTCGGCGTCTGACGTCACAAGCCATGTGTTTCCTCTGCGGAGCCAAGACAAATTTGCCTCTCTTCCGGTGTGTTTTCTATCGGGCCGGTGATTATGTTAGAGCCTGGTTGGCACAGCGCTACGTACAGGCCTGGCATATTACTACAGAGACCGGAGTCGTCCTCAGTGGCTCAGTTTAAACGCTGAATTTGTTTGGTCGGATCCTTGGAAACACCCCGTCGTATTACATTTAGTTTTGATATGTGTGTGACATACGTGTGTATTGGATATTTTTAGAAATACGGAACAACTCGCGTCTCATATTGCTTCAAGACGCAAAATTAAATTGACATTTCTAAAATTACATTTTCGTATTTTCCGGGGGATGGAAGGGGTTTAGGAGGGGTGTATTTTGGGACATTCATAACTACATTTTTTAATAGAATTGCTTTATTGTAATAAATAAATAAATAAATACAATGAAGAAAATAATAATAAAGAAAAACAAAATTTCAAAAGGGCACTGTCTTGGCCCAGAAGACTAGGGGCAGGTTTTTTTAGCACCATCTACTGTGCACCCCAAATAACTTCTATGTTTTAATCTCATTGGTAAATACCACATATTAAGGCAGAGTTGTCTATTAGATGTATTTAATATTTTCTCCTCTTGTCCTTCGATATCTATTAAAATGAAGACACAAGCTGATGAAAAGCCAGAGGAAACATCACACCATTTGAACCTGAGGCAGCGCCACACGGTCAGCAGAGGGTGTCTTGATGTGAAACTGGACAGAACTGGTAAAGTATGAAGGGTCAAGTGAGAGGCAGAGAGTGGTGGGCTGAAGGCAGACATCAGCTCGACTTCCGCTTCTGAATTTTTTCAGCCAACGCCCTTACGACTGTCTGGGCTGGATCGGACCACCTTGGTAGACTTACGTCATAAGATAAACAAACAAAAGAAGGAATTTGCGGAATTAATGAACTGCCAAAAGGTTGCTATAAAGTTGATGGGTTTGTTTTTTAACATTTACTAAATACTTGTCATAGTTTTCGTGGTTTGACAATCACAAGTGGTCTATTATGTGCTGACTAAACAAACTCCAACTGAGGTCTTCCTTCATTCCCACCGGAGACATTAAAATGTCCTGAACAGCAAGGTTATTGTGGTTTATTTGTCAAAGAGGTCGAGACAGGACCAAAACACACTCCTCCAGTCTGGCTGATAAAGAATATGGCTGGATAATGATTAACTGTCAGATGACATCATTTCTTCATGTAATGGCATTGATAACTGTCAGCAGCTGAGGTTGGGCTCAAACAGGTTTAAGCAG